ATTTCTACGACAAGCTGGCAGCCTCCATCGCCCCCGAGATCTATGGGCATGAGGATGTGAAGAAGGCCCTGCTGCTGCTGCTGGTGGGGGGCGTGGACCGTAACCCCCGGGGCATGAAGATTCGGGGTGAGTCTGAGGTGGAGGAGACAGAACCCCGGGGCGAGGAAGTGCAGGGGGGCGGCGGGGGGAGGACGCCGGGGGGGGTGTATATGTGTCTGGGGGGGGGATCGATCCCGTGGGGGGGCTGCTCTGACGCTGACCCAGCTCCTCGCCGTCTTCCTCCAGGGAACATCAACATCTGCCTGATGGGTGACCCAGGCGTGGCCAAGTCCCAGCTGCTCTCGTACATCGACCGCCTGGCCCCCCGCAGTGAGTAACACCCCACCCCGGGGGCTAGGGGGCCCCCTCCGACTCCCATCTCCCCCCAGGTCAGTGCCCCACGGCCTGGGCCCACCCGCTCTGACTGTCCCCTCCCTTCCCCAGGTCAGTACACGACGGGGCGCGGCTCGTCGGGCGTGGGGCTGACGGCCGCCGTGCTGCGGGACCCGGTGACGGGGGAGCTGGCCCTGGAGGGCGGGGCGCTGGTCCTGGCTGACCAGGGCGTCTGCTGCATCGACGAGTTCGACAAGATGCTGGAGAGCGACCGCACGGCCATCCACGAGGTGATGGAGCAGCAGACCATCTCCATTGCCAAGGCAGGCGTGCTGGCCACCCTCAACGCCCGCTGCGCCATCCTGGCGGCCGCCAACCCCGCCTACGGGCGCTACAACCCCAAGCGCAGCCTGGAGCAGAACGTGCAGCTGCCGGCGGCTCTGCTCTCCCGCTTCGACCTGCTCTGGCTGATCCAGGACCGGCCCGACCGGGACAACGACCTGCGGTGAGAGCCCGGGGGGCCCCCTCTCTGCTCGGGGGTGGCCTGGGGCCGGGATGGGGCATCCGGGCAGCAGCGCTAACGCGTGTTGCCCCCACAGGTTGGCCCAGCACATCACCTACGTCCATCAGCACAGCCGGCAGCCGCCCTGCGCCTTCCAGCAGCTCGACATGAAGCTCATGAGGTGAGAGCTCGGTTGGGCCCTGGGAGGGGAGCGGGGGCTGGTGGGTTAGAGCGGGGGGGGCGTGGGAGCCAGGACTCCTGGGTTCTCTCCCTGGCTCTGGGAGGGGAGTGGGGGCTGGTGGGTTAGAGCAGGGG